ATAAAACAAAAAACAAAATAGTTTTTTCCCCCTGTGATGTAGTATTCACAATTAATTTTGTTCAGGTTGCTGCTGTTGCCACTGCTGCTACTGCTGCTGATAATGATTTAGGAGCTCATCCCATCTGTACTGACATGCTGTGGCACTGATGAATTGTAGCTGAATCTCAACAGAATGACTGTTGAATTGTTGATAATGGTTATTCACTTTGGCATGCTTTAATTAGATCTCTTCCTAGAAGGGAAACAATGATTGCAAAAGATAAGTAAAAATAACAAACATAAATTGTTATTTTTCTCAAGGATTATTTTCCTCAACTACTAAGAACTGTGTGACTTTTAATAAACAGACTTGAATGTTAAGAAAAATACTGTCTACTGTAACAATAGCAATAGCACTTAGACTTATATTCCGCTTAACAGTGCTTGCAGGCCTCTCTAAGCAGTTTATAGAGTCAGCATATGGCCCCCAACAATCTGGCTCATTTTACTGACCTTGGGAAGATGGAAGGCTGAGTCAACCTTGAGTCGGTCAGGATCAAACTCCTGGCATTGAGAATGCATATTTATCCTGCAATACTGCATTCAATAGCAAGCATCTCCCAATCCTATTTCATTTAAATGCCTTCACTCAAGAAACTCATATTGAGGATGCTGCCAGCCCTTATTATGCCAGCAGGAAGACCATACAGCTAAGCTAAGTAGAGCCCACATTTAAATCAAATGATATCAAAGCTATGGGCCTAGGTTCATCTACAGAGCCTCCAGTCTGCCTTGACATCACTGAATTCCCTGATGTACTCTTAAAGAATTGTAACACCCTCCCTCAATAGCTCTATTAGCATTCCCCTCCATCCCAAAGCACAACAGCACCACTCCAAGCCATGGTTCAACAAGAACTATGTTAATATTAAAACAAAGCTCTTGCTTTCACTAACCAGACTTATATATCCAATACTACACCAACAGCTACAAAGGACCACCCCCAGCAGAAAAGGTACTTGCTGGTATGCAAGAAAAAGAAAACCATGAAAAACATCTGGACACAACTCATTCAAGCAGTCAAATCCAATGGCTCAGCCTCTTTCTGGCACATCACATCAAATTCCCAATGAAATGGCCCAACCATGATGGATTGTCACATCCTATCCCGGGGACCTGGGAGGCATACTTTCAGGAACTCTATATGGATACCTCTTGTGGAAGTGGAAGCCCTAGACAAAATATAGAAAATCTGCCAATGTGGCACGAGTGACAGAGATCAAAAATCTTGTTGCTCAGCTAAGATCAGGAAAGGCCCCAGGAGAAGACCCACTTCCTCCAGAGGCTATTAAAAACAATTTGGACTTCTGGGCCCCTACTCTGGCCTTGCTGTTTACCTGCATCAACACTTATGAATGAGCACAAAGGATTGGAGGCTCATGATCTTTTCCCCCATATATAAAAAGGGTAAAAAGGATGACCCTGCCAATAATAGATCGATTAGCTTTCTCAATACAGTCAGCAAACGTCATGCAAGATGGAAACGTGCATAAGTTTATGGATTTATGCCTTTATGGAAATTCCAGAATTGGCTGGAGCAAGAAAACATACTTAAAGAAGAGCAAGCTGGATTTAGGGAAGGACAATCCACCATCAACCAGTGCTTAGTGTTCCACATATAATTGAAAAATACTACCTCCTTTTATGCCATCTTCATAGACTTCAAAGCAGCTTTGATTCCATATCACAAACCAAACTATGGGAAAAACTGGAAGCCTCCTTGATTGATCATCATTTATTTCATCTAATATGTATGGTTCATGAAGGGGCGTCACTGAAAGAAAGATGCAACCCCGAGGGCCATCTCATTAATGCCATTGTAACTGAGAAAGGCGTAAAGCAAGGCTGAATATTGGTCCCCAATCTTATTTAAACTTGTATATTAACTCCATGGTGGGCCATCTCCTTGACATGAATTTTACTCTCTAAAATTAGCTAGAAATCACATTTCTGTTTTACTCTATGTGGATGATGCAGCAGTATTCTCAAAAAAAACTGTTGGCTTTAAAAGAGTATGGAGAACATGAGCACAGTATTGCAAGGAAGACCAGCTAGAACCCAACAGGTAGTTTGCCTCCCTTATGGCACATTTAATGAATCTTGAAGTACCTAACCATTAAGGGGTCTTTACTCTGGCACAGTTGTCCTTGAATGCCGAAGATTCCTTACTCAGAGAGACAATGCCCCTGTGACTCTGGATATGAAGAAACAACAGAACCAATGCCTCTTACAGAGACATTTTGGTACTAGCCTCATTTCATCATTATTCCATAAATATTCAGGGCTCACAGGACAATTCTACTCCTCCCTGTTGCTCTCTCCGTAAAAGATTGCCAGACTCTGTGCAGCAGGACCTAAAATACATCACAAGATGACTTGTGCCGCAAATCAGTTCTAATGAGCACCTAGACTGTTATTATACAGTGTTTTGTATCATGGTATATTTAATTTGCCATGCTTTTTATGTGCATTTATTGTTCTTAGACCCTTTTTTAGACTCTTTTTGGATTCTCTTTATTTTTATATTTTATAGCTGTGATTGTAACTTTATTTTTGTATTTTGTATTGTTTATGCCTCTCCATTCCTTTACCCCACCCTCCCAATGTTGGCCTTTGACCATAATAAAGGTTGAATTGATTTCCATTTGTAGCAACTATTGCTTCAGCAATTTTGGTCCTGTTCATTAAAAAAGGTATTGTATTCGTTCCTGGAAAATATAATTTAACATTGAAAAAGTCAATATTTAGCTTTATATATGCTAGGCCTGCTGAAGTCATAATGATGAATGAAATGCAGGATGTTTTAGCATGCAGTATCAGCCATGTATACCTAGAACACAATGTTGACTCCTAGCGACTGCCTGAACAAGCCCCTGTAGTTTTCTTGGCAAGATTTTGGAAGTGGCTTGCCCTTGTCTTCTTACTTGAGCTGAGAGTGAGTAATTGGCCCAAGGTCATCCAGTTGATTTGGTGCCCAAAGAAAGACTCAAACTCACAGTTTCCCAGTTTATAGCTTGGTGTCTTTGCCAAACTACTTCTCATGAGTGCATCACCTTCCTTTAAATAAACAATGTACAAATGTGAACAGTAGAATTGGGGAGTTCCCATATTTTAAACCCAGTAAAGGGAAAGCTATAGGCCAAAGTTGGAAGGCCACTCCTGAATTGTAGGTTGCCTAGAGTAGCCCCACAACAAAATATGTAGCAAATAAATGTAACAAATAAATAAATAATACATCGGGGACATTTGCTATATATCTGGTAGGCAAAAAGTGTATAATGCTGCTGTTTGTAGAAATAGTAGCTGGCACACCGTTTTTTTTTTCAAATTTCCATTTGCTCTTTACTCACAGCCAAAAATAATACAAAATGATATTCTTCTGAAGTTAGGAAACATTCTCTACTTCCCTAAGCATGTAACTATTCAAACAGCAGATTAGCCAACCATTTTCCCTTGTAGGGCAGAATTTTTTTTAAAAAAGGTAGGAGGTAAAGGTTTTCCCTGTCCAGTCCTGTCTGACTCTAGAGGCGGTGCTCATCTCCATTTCCTAGCTGAGGAAGCCAGTATTGTCCAAAGATGCTACCGTGGTCATGTGGCATGACTCTACGTTGGGGCACACGGCGTCTTAACCACTAGGCCACCATACCTACTCTAGGCTAAAGAAAGGCTACTGGTAAAAATGCAAAACACATGCTATATTTCTGAAAATAATAACAACAATAGTTCAGTAAATCTATATGATTGTTCAGAATCATTGACTTGTTCAGTCAAATGCTGCTAATAATAATAGCAGCTAAATGCCCTCAAGTTAGTATTGACTTTAATTTTCAAGTAATTTTGTATAATACATTTTGTAAAAAAAAAATAGTGTGGGAAATGCCTCGAATGATTCAATAAATGTGTGATTCATCTGCAATGAACATAACTTCAGTTTGCTCTTTTGCTGTGATGAAAAAGATACGCCTACTTCAAATCATGATTATTATTATACCATGAAGTTACTCTCTGTCAACTGCCTAGATTCCTTTTTTTAATACAGTTTCTTCTTATAGATTTTTCATACTCTTATTTATAATAGGATATTTTTATATCAAACTTTTTTGGGTCCCAATATACTGAAACATAAAGGTAGTTGATTATGTAGCTGAACATTTGGATGCTTGTAAATTTGAATGTTGAAAGGAGTGTAGAAATTAGAGATAATTTTGTTTTGTTTGCACTTCTAAGCAAAATGATCTTCCCACACTAACACATAGTTTGGCAAACACATATCATCTCCATTTTTGTGCTGGGGTTCTTTACCCCAAAACTATATATCAGAATGTCTGAATGTTGCATATAAAAATAATTTTATAAAGGGGAAAAGCTATATAAAAATTAGAAAAATCTATTGAGAAAAATGTGTACATGAACAGTTTTGTCCAAAAACACTTGCTTAACAAAGTAAAGGTAGACTTTGTACAGTATTAAAAAAAAATGACATAATTAGTCAGAAAATGCTTAGAACTGAACTTTGCAAAATGAGTAGGATTTGTCCATTCCTGATCTGTAATGTTGTTGAGCCACCACCTTTATTTACAATTGAAACCATGAGGTGCACATTAGAAGCTAAGAATAAAATAAAACCTCGAATATGTACATCCACATGGAGTGACTGTTCCAAGAATCTGTGGAAAAAATAAAAAAAATAAAGGGTCCCGGCAGCTGCGTCAGAGGATTTGTTCAGGCCAGGGTGCCAGGAGATTTGAGACAGATGTTTTCAGACATGCGGCATGCCTGAAACATTTCCAGGGGACGGGCTACAAATAGTGACTTAATAAGTGTAGAATCAGGAAAAGTATGCAGGGGAGAAAGACGCAAGAGTTTATTCACCCTCTAGGTGCATACTTAGTCATTTTACATTACATCTGCGTGTCAGGATTGGCTTTTGAAGCTGTCAGATCCTTGGTATTGCTCTTTGACTGTGAATAAAGTACAGCATTGTGATTTCTAATCCCACTCCAGTGACTTGATTTTAAATGTGGATTTGGAGTGAATCCCGGCATCCTGTTTGCTAAGCTTCCTACTCCTGTTTCAGAGGCATCACTGGATGTTGAGGAGAGAACACTGACGGCTGCCCTGTTCCATTTAGAACTTGTTGCTTTTCAGAACTCTGTATCTGTAAATCATTGGAAAGAAATCAATGGCTACCAAAGTGATCTATTTGTTTTTCTTTTTTTCTTTGCCTCTGCTCCCAGTGGGAAATCACACGGGACGCATAAAGGTGGTCTTTACGCCCAGCATTTGTAAAGTGACTTGTAAAAAAGGCACCTGTCAAAACAGCTGTGAGAAAGGAAATACGACAACGCTGATTAGTGAAAATGGGCATGCTGCTGACACCTTGACAGCTCCCAACTTCCGAGTAGGTAAGTTTGGTGAATCCTTATTTGCTCTTGTTAATCCTGCTGGACTTAGCTGTTCATGCGCATGGGATTTTTGTTTCAACCTTTTTCCAGACTATTAGATATCTTCTTCATTGCTCTTGATTTTTCTTCTAAAGTGGAAAAAAAGAAATAGAATTATTCAAAATATGCTTATGATTATGAGCACAGTATGGCAGTACTGTACTTTCATATGGACCCACACATTTACATATGAACCCACAAAATTGGATAGAACAATGGCAAAATTGAGGAATAATAACATTCTTCGAATTTAATAGTTTAATGTTTGGGTAAGTAAATGTAAAAACTCATTGGAGTTAAATGAAACATTCCTGAAAAACATTGTCTAGGAATTGTTTAACTCTGTATTCCTTTGAATGGAATAGGCACCAGTTTAAAACATGTGCTTTGAATGCGTTGAAAGCACCACAGATTTTATGTCCAATATCCACATAAACTGAACATTTAAAAATGTAATGAAAGTTATTATTATGATAAATGAACTGGGTCTGCTTCCAAATAGAACATTCAAACAGTGTATCTGTCAGATGTTATACAACTGGTCTTCAAATATTATTGATATTTAATATATTGCGGTGCAATTATATTGTTAGTTGCTTTTCGAATCTCTTTCCAAATAGAATAATTCTATTCCTCTGTAGGATATAAGGCAGATTTGAGAAAGACAGTCTCACTGCCTTTCTTTACAATATGCTGAGCTTTGCCTGAAAACATGTTCTCAGTACCTCTAACAACATGGGTGGTATAAAATACTTGTCAGTCTAAAGAGGCATCCAAGACTGAACACTAAGAGCTGTCTGGCTAGTCCTATCATTAAACTATGGTGAACAAAATTAAGCTTATGTATCTTTTTCTCTGACATTGAACCTTACTGAGTTTCAATTTAGCAATCAAATGTAGTTGCTAAATAGAACACGTGGTTTCCCCAACTACTGCTGGACAAACCAAAATTAGGAACCATAGTTTAAATATTGCTTTCAGTTTAGATTGTGTTTTGGCCATATAATCAGATTTTAGGGCAGTGGTTCTTAAACTGGGGGTAATTTGGGTGTAATGAAGCAATTTGTAATTCCTTGTTTGTGATTTGAGAATCCAGTTTGGGATTCTTGCTGCCAAGATGCTTGTGTAAAATAACAGAGTCTGTGTGTTTGTGGCTGTGGTGAGTGGGTGGATGGGAGTAATGACATTATTTAAGATTAGGAAAATAGATGGGTCCAATAGTTGAAGAATCATCTAAACTTTTTCTAGTAGCATCAAACTTGGCTTGGCATTACATATGAATGGAATCTTATATGAAAATAGACTGTAAACTATATTAGTAACCTTCCATGGTGCGGATTTAGATTCTAAAGTATATGGTAGTATATGGAGTATTGAAAAAAAAAGTGGAGAATTTTTGAGTGGGTGCTACTAAGGAACTCAGTGGCTGTGACATTGTTGAACCTAAATGTATTCATTTGTTTTAAAAGACATATACCAAGTGGCCTAAAATATAAGTTAGTTCAGAATACCTATTTTTAAATAGTTATGAAGAAATACAAAGATAAGAAAATTATCCATTTATTTTTTACATCTATATGGCATACTGTTTGTCTAACTGAATGAAAACATTGAACAAATAATGTTTTGCATGATTGTTTTATTTTAATTATTGCACTGTTTTTAATTTTTGTTTGTATTTTAGTTTTCAGCTTCCTTGAACATCAATTTTCAGATGGAAAAGCAGAATGTAAATTCAGTAGCTGATTTTTTTAAAAAAATGATATTTTACATTTATTTCATTGTACTACCCTGCAAATTTTGGAAACAGTAAGATTATTAGCTTCTTATAAAAGAAAGAAGAAGCAATAAGTGGTACAAACAGATATATTTATGTTATTTATATATTTATGATTTGTAGGTACCAATCTGAGTTACATCAAGACTGAAATAAAGATTAAAATTGGGATAGGGAGCAAAATACGTGATTTTATCATTGAGAAGTTTGCAAGTCCTAGAAGCAAAAAACCTGTAGATGATTAAGGACTGGGATGGACAGAATCCAGCTGTAGTAGCTATGAAAACAAAGGGTCTTTAGTCTACAGTGAAAGCATCTGCAGTTTTCAGAATCCATGTTAGCATCTGGAGTATTAATTGAAATTTAGTCTTTCAATCCCATTCCTAGCTCTAGATTGCTCAGTTCTGTTGTTAATTCTCAAGAGCTAATAAGAGCCTAACCTTAGAAACCACAGCATTTATTATGCCATGTTTTCATAATGAGGGATCCCAATGGGTCAGATCACCTAATTGGAAAAGTATATAAAATATAAATACAAAATACAAAACTGTATTTGTTTTAACAAATCAGAATAAATATTGTGGATGAATGCCAAAATAACATCCTTGCGATCATTCTTTTGATGCTAGCAATCTTTACATGATGAGTAGAATTTTGTAACTCAGTTGTAATATTTCTGCATGAGATATTTAACTTTCCCATTAGTTTATGAAAGCCCACAGGGTGACTTTAGGCCAGTCTCTCTATGATAACCCAATTTCTATTCAGTTGTGCAGTTGTGAGGAAAACAATACAGTCTATGTTGCCTTGAGCTCCTGATAAGATTGTTAGATTTTTAAATTTAACAAAATATAATTGAAACAATAGAGATTGTGTCACTACATCTTTCCATTTTGTATTAAAAGGCTTCTGTATCATTATTAGAAGTATAATGATTCTTTTCATCAATCCCATCTTTTCTCATTTGACCATTTTGCATGTGGCAAGTAACAGTAGCCATGCATTATTAAAATAAAAACAAAAAACAAGAACACTTTTACTTACTTTGGTGTGTACGGTATATTGCAAACCCAGTCCAGGATGAAAGGTGCCACTGAGGCAAGTTCTACCCTTAGTGACTCTTGGACAAACACCATGTTGACTAGACTCTGGCAATATTTCATTATTCTTCCAAGGGCACTCTGGCAATCTCTGTGTCTCAAACCCTCCATCTATCTGTTGTCTTTCCCTTCTTCTACTTCCCTTGTTATTGCGATTGTTTGTCCATCCCCTGTTTGCATCACATGCCCAAAGTACAATATGTGAGTTTCTGCTTGCTGTTCATTATCTCAAAGGAATATTAGACTGCATTTCATCAAGACTTGATTGGTCCATTTTTCTTACCCTCTGTGGCATTTCTAATAACTTTCCCCAAATCTGTAAATCAAAGTTTTCTGTCTTCTTTTTCTTAGTTTCTGGCTTTCACAGTTGTGTATTATCACTGGCAAGACCACTGTTTTAATTATTCTATTACTTGAAATGTCCTTAGTCTTCATGACATTGTCTGCTTTTCTTCCTAAGATTAATCTCCTCTTTACTCCCTCAGCATAGTATCTAGCTTTATTTGTTCTTGAGCACTAAAAACAAACTATCACTGTTTTAAAGAGTTTGATGAATAGAAAAGCTAGCACTCCTGTTGATCTTCTGAATATAACCTTAATCATATCAAAATTGGGTGATATACAGTAAGCCCCCTCTATCAGCCAAAGGTGAACAGACAAGGTGAAAATATTCCTTGATTTCTATGTTATACTCCAACTCCTTTACATCTCAAATCTGCTCTGGAGGTTTGAAGAATCAAAAGGTTTTAAGGCTGCAGAGAAAGGGGGAATTGCTGAATATTACCCCCCCCCCCCCTTGGTATGCTGATGAAAGCTTTCTGTTAGCAGAGAGAAACTAGACAAATTTTTCTCATAGATTTTTTTTTTTTACATTATATGCACTTTTTCCATCATAGAATCTGCTTTTCAAAGAATTCATAATTTTAATTTCATTTATTTACTTTTTGGCAAGGAACTGAGTAATACAGGAAATGGAAAAAAGGAATAGCATGATGAATGTTGTAGAATTTCCCAACTAACTTTTGTAATTATATGACTCATTCTTGCTTATAAATCTGTTCTGATTGAGGAAGATTGAACAACAGAAGTCTAATCTGGTTCATATTCATGTACTGACAAAAATGGTATGACTCTGTTCTTGTGTATCTAAAGTTTAGCATCCAGGGTTTTTGTTTTTTGGGGGGGTTTTTTTGCATTACACATCTGAAACAAAATAAAATAATCTTATGTTCCAGAGGTGCATGGCTTCCAGGCATATACAATCGTCCCAAATCTTGGATGTGGCTTCTAGGGACCTCCAAAAACTGTTACCACATTGCAATTTTTAAGGCGATAGGAAGAAAACTACAAAGTACATATATGGAGACATAATCATGTGCACTTCTTGTATATTTAAGAAGGCATTCTTATCTTTTCTAGCTATTCTCTGGAATTCTGCATTCAATTGGATGTATCTTTCTCTTTCTCCCTTGCCTTTCGCTTCCCTTCTTTTCTCAGCTATTTGCAAAGCTTCCTCAGTCAGCCATTTTGCTTTCTTGCATTTCTTTTTCTTTGGGATGGTTTTAGTTGCTACCTCTTGTACAATGTTGCAAACCACCGTCCATAGTTCTTCAGGCACTCTGTCTATCAGATCTAATTCCTTAAATCTATTTGTCACCTCTACTGTATATTCATCAGGGATATGATTTAGTTCATACCTGAGTGGCCTAGTGCTTTTCCCTACTTTCTTCAATTTAAGCCTAAATTTTGCAACGAGAAGCTCATGATCTGAGCCACAATCAGCTCCTGGTCTTGTTTTTACTGACTGTATAGAGCTTCTCCATCTTTGGCTGCCGAGCACATAAGTCAATCTGATTTCTGTGTTGACCGTCTGGTGATGTCCATGTGTAGAGTCGTCTCTTGGGTTGTTGGAAAAGAGTGTTTGCTATGACCATCGTATTCTCTTGACAAAATTCTATCAGCCTGTGCCCTGCTTCATTTTGTACTCCAAGGCCAAACTTGCCTGTTATTCCATTTATCTTTGGGCTTCCTACTTTAGCATTCCAATCCTCCATGATGATAAGGACATCATTTTTTGGTGTTGA